AGAAGAGGAAAGGTGGGAAAAAACGTATAAAAAAGCTCGTTAAAAATAAATTACGAACTCCGCAGTAACGGATTTAAAACGAACGCCGCGTATTCTCTGAACGGACGTGTCAAAAGCACTGGCGGAGGGAGAAGCAGAGCTTGTCCTTTTTCGTCCGCTTTTTATTTGTAGAGAGAACTCGAGCGAGGTCCGGTGCGGGTGTCCGGGTGAGAGMCGAAGAGCGAAAAGTGAGAGATGTCTATTAGCGCGATGGTACAAGCTAGTGTACAACGAAGATTTAGGGCCTGTTGGAGGCAGAACGAGAAACACTCGCGACTGTTATAATAATATATAGTTATCGGCCATGATATGCTCACTTTTCTCGGGACACGCTTCTGCCRGTATGAAAATTAAATTTTATGTCGCGTTCTCGGATGTCTCTTCCGGCGAAAAAATCGGAAAAATTCGTCAACCGCGATGATGGGTGCCGACCTGCCACACGGCTCGCATATTATAATAAGACTTCGCCGTGACGGTCGTTGGACGCGATCATTTGTCGACGAATGTGGTGCCATTCCATTATAGYGTACCTATATTATTATGAATCATATTATATAAAACTTGTAGAGTAAAAAATAAAGATTATTTTKTAAATTATCAAGTACTTAGTTCGTTTGGGAAGATTTCAGATTTTAAGCATCTAAACGTAAGTCTCTAATCCCTTATTATCTCGTTATGTCTGTCTGTCCGTTCGTTAGTTACCAAATAATACTAATAATATAATTACGATTGTTGAAAGTTGATATTTAAATGTTTGTTTTATTTCCATATATTYTATACATAAATTGTCAACAAACAGTTTGTTGCTTTGTATATTAAATTATGGGTATACTAGATAATTAAAAGAAAAGCATCACGTATGCCAAACGCAATAGCAATAACATCTCATTTACTTATCTAATTCAAGATATTTTACAACACAATATGATTTAGAAATTATAAATTTACCGAACTCGGAGAATTTTTTCCTATATCCCACCTATAATAATTGTTTGTGATAAAATAATTAGAATCTTTGTATATTATTCGTTTATATGATATTCGGTGAAAAAAAAAACTAGATCAGTTAAACCACTATTTTACTGAACCAATTCAACAAAAATTATTGATGTTGAAACAACGAATGAAATCAGAAAAAAACGTTATTTGTGTTGCTTCGTTGATAAGGATCGTGCTCATTTGAATATTCTTACCGAAATATAGATAATATTATAATCATATGGGTGACTCCTTTTATACTAATGTGCCACTATATATGTCTGAATCGTGATGGCATAATAATTATCGATATTCRGTAGTCGGCTACTCGGCTGGAGAACGTGTAAAAATTCAAAAATCCTGACTATTCAAAAATATTTTAACGAAATCCGAATTTTGTCATTTAACGCCGCAGTAATTATATATAAATAACTTACATTTAATACGTTACGCACACCACTTTCATCGTGTGTACATCGATCGATAAAAGTGTAATTATATATATCACTCCAACCTACGGTCGGTGCACCTCCTATATGATATTATTATTATTATTACAGTGCCGTTAGCCATGGTTATACCACGTCGCGGAGTAATATAAGAGTCGCAATAAAACGATGTATTATGTCACTTTATGACCAGCTATTATCAGTTGGCACGCACGTGTAGGTACACGAATGTATACGCCTACAGCATGTGTGTGTATGTGTTTGTGTGTGCGTTTTAGTTCTCGTTGATTTAACGACAGACCATAAACTTTTCCCGGAGGGATACATTTGTCCTAGGAACCAGATTCACATTTGAAACTCGAAAACTACTTACCCGCGTTGATTTTAGCACTGGATATATCACCAGTAATCAGTAATTATCTGCAAAAGGGACGTTTTTCTAAACCATCGATGTAATACTTCGTGTTGGTCGTGTTCTCGAACTGCAATTCTAACTTTTTTCTAAAAATATTTTTTAAAACGGCGGTATCCCGGACGTAAAAATGTCTCCCGAATGTTATACGAACTCGATACATTCTTAGTATATATAGTATATATTATATTATGTATAATGTTTTATTTTTTTTTTTTATTGGGGGTTGAGGCTTCGACAACAAGGGCCATTAGCCTGTGAAACTGTCGGGGAGGGAATTGTTGGTTTTTGATACTCGTGGATGTTTTTTGGCAGAATTTCGAATGGGCACCCGTAGGTTTCTGCCATGCACGGGAGGAGGGCGGCGGCCTCACTTTCCAGACAACATGATCTTCCCGGAAAGCGATGCCGCCCATGACCGGGATTCGAATCGGCGACGGTGCACGTCACAACCGACGCCTTAATCCGCCCGACCACTACACCCCCTTATGTATAATGTATATATCAGAATCAGAACATTTCCTACTTGAATTGGATTATCTCAACAAAAATCTTCTTAGAAAAATGTTGTAATCATACGTTATTCGTATAGAACAAGTCGTTGTTTTCTCCTCTAGATATTTTTAAAAAGTTCTGAACATTCTAAGCGTTAACTGTTACCTATACCTAATAAATCTATTTCAAATCATAACAATCTATGCAAACTGAATCGTCTGAATCTTAATTTAAGTTACAGACTTACAG